ATTAAACTAATGGAGAACTTTAATTTTTCTAATACATGTAACTTTTAAAATTTATTTGCGTACATACATAAATTTCTGGAGATTTTTTTATAACCTATTTTGTATAACAGCTGTTTGACAAATAAAGTTCAATTAGAAAAAGAACAGGCACAAGCTATTTGGGAAATGTTGAATTTCGAATGCAAATCTTACAATTTGGTTAGAAATGAGTACAATTTGGAATTGCAGAGGTTCAATTTCATTTCGAGAAGATAGAATTAGGTTTGAAAATATTTGAATTTTGCCGGGGGAAAGTGCAATTTGATTAGAAAAGGGGATAAAACTAATTGGAAACATCAACATTTTGCTTGAGAACAATTCAAATATGTTTCGAAAAGGTTTAATTTGCTTTAAAAGTCGGTTTGAAAAAATGTTTTACTTGTTTGCGAAAAGGTCGGATTTACTTGGAAAATTTTGAATTTTAACGGGAGAATATTAGCGTTTGGCATGGAAAAAGATCGAGTTTAATTGGATAAAAGATTGAAGCTGGGTTCGAGGAAGATAAATTATATTTGGAATTATTAGAATTTCATTTGAGAAAAGGTTGAACTGATGGAAAATAATAACTTTTTGGTTGGGAAAAAATCAATTTGAATTAGAAAAAAGGTTGAGAATTCGGTTTCGGATAATTACAATTTGGTTTGAAAAAAGAACAATTTGATTTGAAAAGAGCTGATTTCTGATGGAAAATATTTAGCATGACTCGGAAAATGCACATTTTGATTTAGAGAAGGTTCAATTCTGCATCGCTAGTTTAAATTCTGATTGAAGAATTTAACTCGGAAACATTTCAATTTGAATTGAAAATGGTTCAATTATGTTTGAAATTGTTAGAATTTGGTGTAAAAAATGTTCAGTGATTTGGACAAGTTGCAACTGTGAAAGTTTAAATTCTGATCGGTGATATTATAATTTAGACCGGAAAACGGAAACCGGAAATTTGAATTGAAAAAAATTGAATTTAGACTTTTTTATTTTTGGCATCAGCTGATTGCCAGAGCCACTTTTAGAATTTAGGCTTAAAAAGTTTTATTCGATTTGTAATTAATTTGGTTCGAAAGAGTACAATTTGATAATGAAAATTTTGAATTTAAACTTAAAAAACAAAACTAAGTCGAATTCGTTATGTATCATAATTTGTTTCCAAAAAGGTGAATTCGATTATGGAATAGTTAGATCAAGATAAACTAAAGAAATTAGTACATAAAAAACCTTGAGATGGTTTATAATAAAAGGTTGAAATAAGTTCAGAAAAAGTTCAATTTGATGTTCAAAAAAAGTTGAATTAGACTTGAAAAAGGTCTTTTAAAAAATTAATAACCGAAAACAAGACATCCCATTTGACTCTAAACGCTTTTTACTTGATAAATATTAGGAAAAAATGGAATGCAAACTAAAATGATTATTCCCAGCATGTTTCCTTGGATTTTGTTTAAATATTTTATACAAAATTTTTAAAAAAATCGACATAAATTTATGTAGGTTTGTTAATATTTTTTAATTATCATTTTTTAGTGGGATTAAGTTTTGGACTTGTTAGATCGAATTGAAGGTAAATAAATTGGTAAATGAAAAATCTTGAATTGGTGGTTTATAATTAGAGGTTGATCTAATTTGGATAAAGATTTGATTTAAAAACGCTGAATTAGACTTGAAAAAGGTTGGAAAAATATTTATAACCAAAAACAAGACATCCCATTTGTTTCTAAATGATTTTTACTTGATAAATATTAGAAAAATACGGCATACAAACAAAACAGAATAGCCCTAACATGTGTTCTTTATTTTTATTTTTTTTAAATAGTTTATAAAATTTAAAAAACAGAAATATGCATATATTTCCGTGGCTTTGTTAATATGTTTTTAATTAACGTTTTTTAGTGGGATTAAGCTTTGGAATTTTTAGAACAAAGCGAAGTTAAAGTAGTACATAAAAAGTTTGATTGGTCGGAAGTCAGTTTGGAAAAAGTTCAATTTGATTAAAAAAACAGTTGAATTAAACATGGCAAAATTCGTAAAAAAAATGTATAACTGAAAACAAGTCATCCGCTTTTCTTTCTAAATGATTTTTACTTGATAAATATTAGGAAAAAATGGCATTCAAACAAAAAAGAAAATCCCTAACATGTGTCCTATTAGATTTTTTAAAATCTTTAATAAAATAAAGAAATCGACATAAATTTTTGTTGATGTTTTAATATGTTTTTAATTAACTTTTTTTTAGCGGTATTAAGCTTTGGAATTGTTAGAACAAAGCGAAGTTAAATAAAGTATTACATAAAAAAGTTGGATTGGTCTATAATAAAAGTCTGAAGTCAGTTTGGAAAAAGTTCACTTTGATTTAAGAAAGGTCGAATTAGACATGGAAAAAGTTGTAAAAAAATTTATAACCGAAAACAAGACATCCCATTTGTTTCTGAACGATTTTTATTTGATAAATATTAGGAAAAAATGGCGTACAAACAAAAAAGAATATCCCTAACATGTGTTCTATTAGATTTTTTAAAAATCTTTTATAAAAAAGAAATAAATCGACATAATTTCTGTTGATTTGTTAATATTTTTTAAAAGTTTTTTTTCTTAATTAACAATTTGTTTTTGTGTAGAATTAAGATTTTTCATATGTCAAACACATGAGACGAGAAGAATCCAAGGCAAATTTTAGATTGTGGAATCTTTCCATTAAAATCATGCCCCATTTTCACGCATGGGATCGCCTAGAAATTTAAGAAATTCGTTCAATTTTTGTTCCTTTGGACCCATGCCGACACGGTGACTTGAAGAAACGAAAAACCGCGAATTTGAGCAGTTATAATCCAATGGGCTCCAAAACAGCTGAACCGGTCATCTTTTCTCATTATCGGAAAATTGAAATTTTTGAAATTCCTACGGGACACTTCAGACTAATTAAATCTGAGATTCTTCGCATTCTGCACGCGAAGTCTAATCGTGTTTCGGACTTAGCCGAGGCACTTTCTGATAATGCATTATCGATCCGTTCGCCCAAGGGGTTCGGTTTTTATCCCATTATAATCCGTCGGCCGTATTACAGCAGGCGTTAATACTCTCCTGGTCCCGGTTGCGTCCGATCCTTTTTTCCTTTTTTTTCAAGTATTCAAACAGCCTCGGAAAACACCAGGAAAGTATGCTGATTTTTTCCACCCTTTTGCCTGTTGGTACGCGGACCGTCAGAAAGCAGCACTCCCGATTCAGCAAGCCGTCAAACATGAAACCTCCCAAAGCCAAAAAGAAATTTATGTTTCTGTTCAGCAATTTTAAATTTGCCTATTAGTATTTTTTTCTAAGGGTGCATTTTCGTGATGCTCGTCGACAATACGCCTCAGAAATGTTTGCAGGAGTAAGTTCAAAACGATGTGCTTCATTTGTTCTCCAATGTCATGATTTGTTAGGTCTGCTTTCTTTAGTATCTCATTTGTTTCGCGTACTCGCCCAGGTTTCTTTCTTAGCTTAGCCTTCGAACCGTCCACTTCTTTATAAACCTTTCTCTGTTTTAAGTTTTTAAAGCGAGTCTTTATTTTAATAGTTGTTTTTAGAGAAAATGAACCGTTATCGTTTGAAAAGTCTAAGGTATGAAGCATTTTATTATTTTGTTACAATTTAAGGATATTCTTTGGCTTTTCCTAAATTGGAAAATATGTTATTTTCTATGTCTTGTAGCTCCTAATTCTTAACTCCGAACTGTTGGTTTTTGATGAGTCGTTGAGGGGAGGAGAATGATATCCTCGATTTGAAAACTAGTATACGATGGGTTTGTTACACGAAAGCATAAACACGCCATTTATCGATCTTCTCATAAATGAACTATTTAAATTTTCAAAAGGAAACCTCTTATAAGATCTGTATCGTTTTCAATTAAGACTGTTTATATTTTTTGTTTTGTCTTTGTTGGTTGGGGGAGGTTAGTTTAATTTTATCCAGACTGGAAATTCTTATATGCAAAGAAACAGTCCAGTTTTTCAACTTACTCCAAGCTGGAGTCAGCGGTGTTACAAGGGAAGGAGGGGTGACAATTGAAATATATATTTTCCCACTTTCTGGGTAGGTCTGTATGATGGGATGGAGGGGGTTGGGGAGAGGCGCGTATTGATCGACCTGCCGGCAAGGGAGAGGTCTAAATGTCGGCCCTTGGGCTCTCCTCTAAGGGCAAGCCCTTTCATTCCCTCGCCGGCGGCTTATTGATTCACTCCAAACCCCAAAACGGAGAAATTTTCCCGGCGCCGAACCGGGAACCCGGGGCCTTTCCTCCCTTAGAATCAATCTAAAGGGGCGTATGAAGATGACGGTTTCTCTCGGAAAAATGGGGCTCGGATTCTGTAAGACAATAAAGATTTAAGGGTTGGGTTGTATTTCGAAACAAATAATGAATGGAAGTTGTTTTTCTATTTTTCTATGAAGAAGGAAAACTAAGACATACAATGAACATAGTTTTAAAGGGAATAAAAGCGATTTATCTAAACATCTATAGATCAATATACAAATATTTTGTGGGTTGACATTTAATTTTAGTACTAAGGAAGCTTTCGTGTTGTTATAATTAAAGCCTGTGAGAAAATGAACAACTACTACCTCAAAACAAAAAAAAAGGTTCTAATTTAAAAAGAAAAAAGATATATACATGTTACATTATAATCTTCTAGCTACTAGTTGAATACACGACTTACATTTCGTTATACAAGAAGTAAACAACTTTTAATTTAAACCCTCGGGTCTGTTCAAAGCACTTAGCGTGTTTTCGAAAAGGCACAACGTAGCCAGAGTTAAAACGAGCACAGAACTCACGACACTATTCACTTTAACCACTTGGGAAGAGCCTGGACACTTGGTGAAATGGTCGTCGAATAGGACCGAGCGGTGGGTATGTCCCGTACCAGCAGTAGTACTCGAACCACAATACTGCTGTGACAGGACAATAATACCGCCCGGCCCTAGCGGCAGGTTACCTTGAGACTGTACGGGTTCAGCAAGTCCATCTTCTCGTTGATGGATTTGGCGCCTGTGATGTAGCTGAAACAGGAAGAGTTTGTGATAGAGGTGCCCAGATAGCCCCCACCCCGTATGGCGTGCAGGGCGCACGTCGGCATGCGCCCCGCGGCCACCCTCATCCCCCTTCAAGCTGATCAATGATAGAGTTCAGTCAACTCCCCCGGCTCCTCGCACTCTCCTTCTCACTCTCGCTCTCTCACTTTCTCTCCATTACATCCTAATTATAATCAATACTCAAAAGGATCGATACTGCAAAATCCGATGTCACCGTACTTACGCGACGTCCCTTGTGCAGAGCAAGTAAATTACAGCAGCGATGTCCGACGGGATGGCTATGGCTACCAAGCCTACAATTGGTAACAGCTGGAAAAGAAAGATCAACGTGAGAATGCTACAGTGGCTGTACGGTGGAAAATATTTTTCCCCATAGATCCAATGAAAGACAACCCTTCTTTTATTAATTCCGTACTTCTTAAAAAAAGCAATTAATTGATTACTCAATAATTATAAATAACTATATTGCCTTCTGACATTAAATACACCAACGCAGACCAAAGGCACTGCTGGAAAACACACTTGAAGACTAGATGGTCCACCCAGATCGATTCGTGTATAACACGATTATACAAAATGTTTCGAGTTTTTCTTAAGGACCTGTCTGTACAAGGATCCATACAATTAAAACCCTCCCCCTTACTTAATATACATTGGAAAAAAAAATGCGAACCTCATATTTTTACCTTCTTCACAAATATAGATAATTATTGGATTGTACTCTTTTTAAACCTCCTAGGTTTGAGTTCCCAAGAGGTTTGAGTATGCTTTACAAGACAAACTGGCAAAAGAGTCAAAAGCTGGTAATTTTGTTTTCTTTCGTCTCGTCGAGCCTCGCTGTTTGTCACAATCATTGTCTGGCCTTAACAGCGGGCCCAAAACATCTACAGAAAGATAATCTACCATAGAAATACACACAAAATGACTTAATTTCTAATTTGTTATACGATTCAAGACAATCTATAGTGTGTAAATATTTGCTACCGAACATTGCATTTATACATTAAATTTTGCAACAAAAATTAGAAAGGTGAAAAAGTTGTTTTTACTTAAGAATTGCCGTTGCTAAAATTTGAAGCATTTTATTCGTAGCCCTAGAATTACTTTTTATTATTTAAGATTACTAAACTCCTACTTTAAAAAAGGCGTTTTTGTGTTTCTGTTGAGATTAAATACATTTAAAAAAAAAAAAATGCAAACTAACAAATTATGTTTTTGTGTTGTTACAGTTTGGGCATGGAAGCGATGGCCCCCATAGGGGAACAGGATTTGTTCAACATGAATAACCTCGTTCCCATGAACGGGCTGAGCCTCCTGCACATGAACGGGCAGCTGCCTATCATCAAACAGGACGTGAAGCCGATGGTGAACGGGACGGGATGCGGAGGGCCGGCCACCGGCGGCGGTTCTCAGCTGAACCTCAGCCAGCCGCCCCAGGCGCCGCCTCCGAGTTCGACTGCTCAGACGAATGGCACGGCCACCGAGTCATCTCCCGCGGGTCCATCCCAAGGGGGCAACTCCTCCGGCAGGTCCACCCCCAACAGCAGCGACCCGTCTGCAGCGAAGCTGTTCGTTGGCGGTCTAAGCTGGCAAACAAGCAGCGACAAGCTTCGCCAGTACTTCGGCATGTTTGGGACCGTCACTGATGTCCTCATCATGAAAGATCCTATCACCCAGGTATGCTTTTTGTACTGCTCGTAACATTTTCTCTGCATTTTTAAACTATTAATATAAACTCAGTAAAATACTATCTTAGCCTACTAACAAAATTGTTTCAATCTTAATCTATAATTGTGTCTGTCTAACTTTACGACCTGCTTAAACTTTTCCTACTGCATAGCTTTTCTTAGCCCAATGTCTGTAAGCTGTGAGCTGTTGAGCTAAAACAATTCCCCTTTTCTCCAAACAAGCCAGAATAATGTAGACCCAAATTAATGATCTATCACTCATTAATTAAACGTAAATATTGATTTAAAATTCCTTTTGCTATTGAAACTGCCAATTTTTACGTGTCAGACATATCTGATGAACATTACTTTTGTTGGTCGTCCTTAATCAATTCCTCAGCCTATTTTGTTATAATTTTTTCATTGTTTAAAAATTTATTTTATTTGATAAATTTAAAAAATCCTTGTCATCACATTTTTGTGAGATTTCTTCTTTAGGTCAGTGAATCGATGAGCTGAAGTTACGCCGTTTCTGACCACTCCGCTCTGTCTCATTGTTTGTTCTCGACGTTTCCCCATTTTTTTTTTCCAAACACTGGCTTGTTTTGAAAATGTAAGGGGGGGCAAGATATTCCTAAGACATAAGATTTTTTTTTCATGCTTCATTAATTGATCCTGATGTTTTGTTTCATAGTTTCACTTGTTTCTCATAATCTTATCGATTTTCAATTTATCCGAGAAATACTGACAACAGACCGTTATTATTGTCAACAGTATTACACTATGAAACTGAACAAGCACACTGAATAATTTATTTCTCGGTAATTCCTGTTTCCTGTTTGCCTGGGAATTTTCGAAGGATGACGTCTGGCCGTTTTATTTATATCTCGCATACATCCAGATTGAACTTCCAGAATCCAGAGGTGGCGTGGACTTTTTCTGATTTGATCCGCGGCAAAAATCGACCAAATTTTTGACATTGTGAAGATCCTTTGTCCCGAGGTTGGAGACCTCGTCTCCTTTTCTCTCCTGCGTGCGAGGGGCTTATAATATATAACTGGTTCCTTTCAAGGACACAACGCTTGCCTTCGCAACTGTTCTGCAGACCCAATTTCTTCTGCACTATAATTGATCGCCCAGAGTACACGGCCTCGCAACCAGAAATAATTATTTTTCAAAGGACATAATCTCCATATGTTATTCTGATCACCTTCTGACCCACAAAGGAACTGAGCGTCGTTTTTACTTAATTCAACTTTTGTTGTTTATAAAGTTTTGTAGCAATTCCTGCCAGGAATCTTTTTATTGCCTAAAACACTTGTCCAACTAAATTTACAAACTTAAAAATTTGAAGCTTGTTATATCACTGGAGTTTTAATAAAATGTCCGATTGATGAAAACCAAAAACGTTATATGTTTAAAATAATCATTTAATATAACTAAGAATTGTTTCTTGAGAATAAATTTGGATTATTTTAAGATTCAAGTCTAAAATTAATCTGGTTTTGACATTGTTACAGAGGAGTCGTGGATTTGGGTTTATAACATTTGCTGAGGCAGATACGGTTGAAAAGGTGCTTAAGGTACCGATACACACATTGGATGGGAAGAAGATTGATCCAAAACACGCTACACCGAAGAACAGGCCTAAGGCTACAAACAAGACAAAGAAGATATTCGTTGGAGGAGTGAGCCAAGACACTTCTTCAGATGAGGTAAAGGCTTATTTCAGCCAATTTGGCAAAGTCGAAGAAACCGTGATGCTGATGGATCAGCAGACAAAGAGGCATCGTGGATTCGGTTTTGTCACATTCGAGAATGAAGACGTTGTTGACCGAATTTGTGAGATACATTTCCACACTATCAAGAATAAAAAGGTGGAGTGTAAAAAGGCACAGCCGAAGGAGGCAGTGGCTGCAGCGGGATTGCTCCTCGGAAAGAGAGTCATGATGGGACCCTTGGGAATGAGGATGGCTGCACCGGCTCCAGTTGCTGCCGGTCAGCTTGTTTCGGTGACTGCCCAAGCGGCTCAGGCTGCTGCGGCTGTCGCCGCTCAACAGGCTGTTGCAGGTTATAGCAAGTTGTTCGGTGGCTATCCCGGACTCGCAAGTTATCGTTATGCACCGTATCCGGTAGCTGCACCGGCGCCTGCTACACCGACACCGGCTGCACCTGCCCCTGCGTTAACTCCTGCTTCGCCCTACCAAGGATACTCGTTACCAAATGTGGATATGACTAGCTTCCAGGGAGTCGACTGGGGATCAATGTACGGTATGGGCATGTATGTCTAACTCTGGTAATTCACATCTTTACTTATTATATACCTATCTTTTGATGGCTTTTTGCTCACTTGTCTTGGGCCCTTCACTAGCAATAATTTGCAATAAAAAGACAGTATTAGCGTCATGCCCATCTTTGAATCTTCCATAAATTGGTTTGATATTATATCTAAGAAACATAATAGAAAAACTAGTATTAGTGTGATATATTGTGTATTGAGATTTTGTAAATTTGATGATTGTGATTGAAACACTGTAAAATTGTTGTTATATTAGTGTTTGTTGATAATGCCTACTGGCAGTTGTTTTTTCAAACCCTGTACACAGAGGGGTGTGCCATACATGTCTCAAGAAAAAGAAATCCTTCGAGACTTTGTTTATCGTGTTGTGAATTTCTGTATATATAACTTGATCTCAAGTGTGGGTACATATTTATACTTTAGACATAGAACAGAAAATTGAGACGGTAAAATCTCTTAAATTAGGGCTTTCAAGCCTTTGTTTGCATTTTGCAATAGTTGATATTTTGTATTAAGTGGTTTTGCGCTTTAAATAACCATGTGACAAAAGTCTGCATTAGCGGATTCTCTGAAATCTAGTCACTTTCTTTTCTCTTATTTCTTTTTTAATTTTCATCATCCACACTTTGTAGTGATACTATTTATTAATCCACATCACGACTGAGTATTTTACCTTTTAATCCCTTTTGACACAAAATTTGTATTGTTCCTTTTTTTTATATATATAATTTTGTTTTTTAACTACTTTATTTTGTTTTATTTATGTCTTGCTATTTGTATTTTATAGTTGTCATTAATTCAAATTGAAACATTCCATAGATTTGTAGCTTTTTTTCTTCAAAAGTAAAATAAATTTTTAATAGAAACATCGAAGTTTCATGCATGTGATCAAGTGGACCAAAATACTTTGTTTGGGGCGAAGGTGGTGGCATAAAAGGAACAATGTCAAACTAACAACTTCAATGAGGTACAATACCTTTAGAAATGTAGCTAGCTATCGTCGCCACCTTCTCCTTCTGTACTTATTTTTGTACTTAAAAGTAATGAGAAAATGGAATTACAAAATGTTAAATCGGTTGTTTGCAACTGTTGGGTATCCTAGTTTGAGTTTGTAATGATGATCCTAAATGAAAACAAAAGTAAATAACTTGTAGAATATAACATCAGTGTTTTTAATTTTGTCTTATTCTTTATATTACTTTAATTTTGTTTCTAATTTTATCATTTGTGGAAAAAACAACAAAGCGAAGCCCTGTATAGATGAACAGGTTGAATGTTAAAGTATGAATATATTTATATATATTGATATATATAAATTGCCATGTGGAATTATTACTACATGTCGTGTAAAAATTGAGAAAAAAATATCAATGTTACAGTGTGTTAAAAATAGTTTATAGCTCATGATAATTCAGTTGTAAACATTTTTGTCAGTGACATGAGATTCATATCTATCTATAAAATTGAGCGAAAGGAAAAAGGATAGCCCTGTAACCCCCCCCCCCTTGTTGGCAATAATGTTCCTTGTTGTAAATGTTAGACTTTGGAGTTACCTCACCTGTTTGAGTGCCAAATGGACAAATGTCATTTCACATTGTTTAAACCGAGAAAAAAAATCTTGACATGGGTATCAACAATCTATTTTCCTTTCGCCGTTATGAGACAATATTTGATTATGTGAAAGCAATAACAGTCATAGGAGACCCCTTTTTGAGTATAATTAACCCTCTATTTTTGTATTCTATAAAAAAAAAAAAGAAAGTTGTGAAGAGTTAATAAAGTTTGTATTTTCATGAAGATGTGGTGTAAGAGGGTTTCTCGGTCTCGGAACTGTCATGTGTAAACTATTAACCTTTGTCTCCTCTATACTTCTCGACTCGTTGCTGTTTTGTTGGTGGACTCGTAGTATTTAAGTATTCACTTTGACAAGTTTATTTAGTGTTAGATGTTTTTGTAGTTTCAGTGTGTAGTTGTAGAATGGGTTATCCCATGCACTTGTAGCTCAGTTTATTGAATAAAGTAGATTTCAGAAAGTAGAAAAAAGTGCTGCTTGATATGGTATTTTTATTATAACAATAATCATTCCTTTTTATTTACATATACATATTTATAAATTAACTTTGTATAATGCTTGACTGGCCTTGACTGACAATTTCAGCTTTTGTTCTAGTGAACCTACGTTCATTTTCTTTTTACAATTTTAATGAAAAAACTTTTCTTTTTTCTTAAAGAAAGTGGAAAAGACATGAAGGTTGATCATATTAAATAAGAACCCACTCGCTTTTCTGTGATAACACTGCACGGATTGTTTGTTGTTAGCACGATAGGTGAAAGGTGCAGTGGAGAGATCTACTCAACTATAGCCCAGTGGAGATTCGACATTTCATCTCATTTAATACCGTTCTTCAATCATTTTATTACCCGATTGTTAATAATTTTGGTGCCGAAATTCGCATGAAGTCTGGTAGACAGACCCGAAGCCCAGTAAACAGACTAACCACAAATGCATGTTCAAAATATGTATGACCAAAAGTAAAATTGCCTTTAACATATAATGACTAACCAATTTCATCATTAAATTCTAATATAGTTTTTTAAAATGAGATGGTTGATTGTAGGATAGTGGACTCCTGTAGTGATAATTTTTTTATTAGAATGTTTGGGAAAGTTTAAATTTGTGCCTTTAGATTTGAAATAAAGTATCAAAATATATAATAATAATAATAAAAATAATAACGCTGATATTGATGTAGATGTGAAAGTAGATTTTATATAAATGTAGTAGACAGAAATGTGAATTTAAAAAAATATATATACACAAATCAGTTGATAAATGTATTAATATTTGGCTGTTTTAATAGAAAGCGATTTTTCAGGGAAAGCGTGGGAAAATTATTTATTTGATGGCCATGCAAGCAAACTTTTTTAATTGAAATTCTCAAAAAATACAAATGAGGTTAAATTAAAGAATTTTGCCTGCTATACTTATCTGTGATCAGGTAACTAAGTCTTTCACTAACTTGAGATTTTTTTTTTAAATAGTTGTTTTGGTTAAACTGTTTAACTATTTTTAGCTGTTTCTCAGACATTGTGTTGTTTTAAGTTGAATATTTTATAGTTTACTGTAAATTAATTAGACCTTATCTCATTTCTTTTCTATACTAATAGTTTTAACACGAACCTTTGATTTCATTCCAAGAGTAGTTTAATAGCATTTTTCCTTTGTCTTTATAATTAAGATTTGAAGCCTTAAAAGAGATAATTTTCCCACTTACTCTAATCTATGACTATACAATAAAATAATTCTTATCAATTAGACTGCTGTTAAAATTTTGAAGGGACAGATCCCAAGCATTACATTTATTTTTACATGACAAACTCTCTTCAATCAATCGTCAATATGTAAATAATCAGACAGAATTTGGAAAATTTTCCCTATCTTGTTTGATTCCCCTGGTTAGCATGAGCATTTTTTTTCCTCGGAGGAAAATTGTGTACGGTAGCCATAGGGGAATGGGTCAAAATCATTTGTCACTCACAAAACATAAATCATAAACAACATATCTATCGTGATGCAATTAATGTTGAATTATCACAAAAATAAAACACGTTTATCTTATAGTCAAAATCTTCGCTCATGCAGTTTCTATTTCCTATCGCGTTTTCTGATTTTCCTTGTGTATATATCGTGAAATAGAATAATGTAAACTTAAGCATTTTCATTAACACTCAATTATTGTGGTTACTCGGTGTTTTAAATACTATTATTTGTATAAAAGCTGAAAGGAGGCTCTCTTAGAAACTACAGAGACATCGAATATTAAAAAAATAATGTAAATAGTTATTAACATTAATTATAAACTTATTTATCTTCTTAAACAACTTATTTTCAAAAGTAATTTAAAGAAAATTATTTAATGAATGCAGATTTTGAAACTTTATCAGTGCCTTTTTAAGTGGGGGTCAAATGACATTTTTATCTCATTAGCAGATCATTTTAGACTATTCATACAAAAAATAAACAAAAATCCCTTTACCTATTTGACGTGAGCTAGTCATAGCGTAAAGTTAACCACCGCACCATACAACTTAATTTCAAGTGGTAAAAAAATTTAACATAAGATGTAGTACACAGTTTGATCACAAGGTTTGTCGAAATTTCATAAAAATAACGCTTATTATCAATTATACTAATGTATTATTACACGACAGTAGAAAATGGATGCATTGTAAGTTGGGTAAGACAATACTGAATGCATAATTGCTACCGAATTACAATAGCAATGAAATTTAGTAGTGGTTGAATTAAAAAAAAAATTCTACTAACACCAAAACGTTCTCTATGTATATTTGAGCCCGAATGTAGTTGATAATTGAGGTAAGTAGTATTATTGCATAGAATTTAAATAGATTAATGCTATTGGTGTTGTGTGGCATCCCCTATACCAAATCCTGATACCAAATATTAAAAATTCCCATTGGGAATCTCTTGAGGCCTACACATAATAAACTCATTAATTTATTATATTAGTTTAACTTTTTAAAAAATAACTTAGCATGAAATTACTGTTAGGGTAGTTTTTAATTTATTTTTTCCTTTTCTTTTTTTTTAACATGGTACGTTTAAACAATAATAATAAATAATATAAGTACCTGTAACTATATTGTGATATGCAAATATATTTAAATTAATCAATATATCTAACTAGTCAATCATAATGTCACGCCTTACATAATATTGGTGTATTTTGACCACTCACTGTCTTCCTTTAAAAGTAAAAATATTTAAAATCAAAATAATATTTTATATATTCCCTCTGGTTATAAATGTATATTCTGGATTCTTAATAAATATCTAAGACATCCCAGTATATTTTAGAACATTTTCCCATATTGTAATATATATATAAATATAATATTCATTTTATCATTAATAATAATATATTATTTGTAATATACTTATACATGGTTTATGAAGTCAACCTGATATGCTGTGTTTTCATTCCTTTAACCCTAAGC